AAGTGAGCTGTGTTTGAGACCATGCTGACCTGCCATGTGGTCAGTAATGGTCGAGGAGCAGGGGGCGCTGGCGGGGAGGCCTGGCTAGCGGGGGCTGCCCTGCGGTGCTTCAGTGTGCCGTCGTCCCACTTACAGCATTTCATGTTTTATATAAGTTTAAAGGTGCTGTTAGGTTAATGCTCTAATTATTTCTCATTTTGTGTTATGTGAGCTGTGTTTGAGACCATGCTGACCTGCCATGTGGTCAGTAATGGTCGAGGAGCAGGGGGCGCTGGCGGGGAGGCCTGGCTAGCGGGGGCTGCCCTGCGGTGCTTCAGTGTGCCGTCGTCCCACTTCCAGGTCTGCTGACCGGTGTGGTTGTGGACTCTGGCGATGGCGTAACTCACATCTGCCCCGTTTACGAGGGCTTCTCCCTGCCTCACCTGACCCGGCGGCTGGACATCGCTGGAAGGGACATAACCCGGTACTTGATCAAGGTGCCCGTTCTCTCCTCCTCCCCCTGTACTCGTCCGTCCTGTCCGCCAGCCTTCTTGTCCGGCGCGGAATCTCTCCAGAGCGGTCGTGTGAAGGCTGCCCCTCTCTCCTTCATAGCTGTTGTTGCTGAGGGGCTACGCCTTCAACCACTCGGCCGACTTCGAGACGGTGCGCATGATGAAGGAGAAGCTCTGCTACGTGGGCTACAACATCGAGCAGGAGCAGAAGCTGGCCCTGGAGACCACAGTGCTGGTGGAGTCCTACACGGTTGGTCTGGAACAACCTCCATCACCAACAGCATGCAGACAAACTTTTAAATAAATTATCAGTTTCATAACCTTCTTAAGCTTGTGCGTAGTGTACAGTTCTGATGATCTGCCCCAAAAAGTTCTAAACTGATTATGCAGGCATCCATGGGCTCAGGGGTGGCTTCTGCATTCTGCAAATGACCGTGTTAGTTGACATTTAATGGCAAGTTGAGAGGGGAGGGGACCCTTGTTCTTTTGTTTATAGCCTGTATCAAAATACACTGGAGAGTGGGGTGGATTCAGAAAGGGTTTCCCAAGGCATCATCGGGACACAGTGGTGCGCAGTTTGTAGGGACGGCTGTGAGTTGGCTGACCAATGAGAATAGTTCTCATGCCCGCCCTCTCGGAATCCCCGCCTCCCATTGGGTGTGGCTTGACCTTTGACAGCCGGCGACCCCCGTGACTCCTCCTCGGTGTGCTTTTCTTTCCAAGGTGGGGAAAAAAAGGTCCAACAAGAGCAGCACTATAGCAGGCAGGCAGGCTAAGCGGCACGTCGCATCATTTCCCGCATGGTCGCAGTCCCGCACGCCCTGACCCGACTTCACTTTCCTACCCCGGACTTCAGACGTCCAGCCGTCAATGGGCTCTTTATGCCCTCCCACGCCATGTTTCCGGCACTTTCTTCAGTGTGCGTTCAGTCATTAACGTCGTTCCTGGCCAAAAGACCCAGTGGTTTCACGCTACAAAGTTGGGATTATAAGGCTTACACAGTTTATCTGTTCATACAGTGAGTTATTGGTGAAAGAATACAGATTAATAAACTCTCTAAAGAATGCAACAGTAGTCTTTTGTAGGATTTGATATTTTTTTTAGCTTGGACCTAAATTTGGGCCCTTAATTACTATGCCACCAACTGGGCACATAAGGACAGTGCAGCGGGTTTATCTTGTGTTGGTCAGTTTCGTTGAGGAATGAGCCTATGACTTCCGTTCCCTGAGGCCCTGCCATGTAAGCCCGGTTGTTGAATTCATGTTGCATAACGAGCACCTCAACACTGACCTCACTGCACCCTTCATGTGAGCCCCTCCGCTTGCTCTGCTGCCCTCTAGCTCCCTGACGGAAGGGTCATCAAGGTCGGCGGCGAGAGGTTCGAGGCGCCCGAGGCCCTCTTCCAGCCCCACCTGATCAACGTGGAGGGCGTGGGTGTGGCCGAGTTGCTCTTCAACACCATCCAGGCGGCAGACATCGACACCAGGTGATTTCACCCCCTCCAAGCGCTTGCCATAGGGTGGATCTGGTCATATGATCAGCGACATCACATGTAAGAGGGTGACCTAGCCTCACACCTCCTCTCCCACTTGCAGGGCGGAGTTCTACAAACACATCGTGCTGTCAGGCGGGTCCACCATGTATCCTGGACTTCCTTCACGGCTGGAGCGTGAGCTGAAGCAGCTCTACTTGGAGCGTGTGCTGAAGGGTGACGTGGACAAGCTGTCGGTGAGTATGACTTCTGGGTTCGTGTCGTTTAGTGTGTCGGCAAGCTGCAGTGTGGACCTCTGGCCAGCAGATGGAGACGAATCCCAGTTTTGGCCCCTTCACTCAACAGCAGCCTGGTATAGAGAAAACAATGGCCCTGTTGCTTTACACACAAGTGCCCCGCAGGCTTTCAGGGATCTGGATCTGGCATGAATTTAAAGCGGGCTGGGACACACGTGTTGTGAGACTGGGGGGAGGACAGTCCCATGCACCCAAAATCTGGCCAGAGGGACCTCACATTAGCCTTGGTCTCTGGGTCCTGTGAGTTGTTACAAGCTGATGTATTAATGGGAAATTAACGCATATTAATGTGGAGGAACTTGAAAGCTAAGTGGCTAATCGGAGCCTTGGTTAAGCCAGTAGAAGCCTTGTGGGCGTCGAGCTGAAAGGCCTTTTTCAGACATGGCTGTCCGCTATATTTGCACTGGATAATCCAACCTTTTGGCCAGTTGTTTCAGACTTTTTATTTGGGCAAACTTAAGGGGTATTTAAAGCTTCTCTGAGATCAGACACTGTAAAATTGCAGAATTCTCCCCTTTGTTGACAGAATAATACACTGTCTTTTAATCGCCGTTTTCCTCTGGTGTTATCGTGGGACATGGATAAATCTCTTCCCTTTGTGTTCATGCCACCCCCGCACCTCCAACCCCCCCCCCCACCCCTGCACTCGGCACGTGTGCGCTTGTGTATTTGCGTGCCCACCCCCCCTTTACAGAAATTCAAGATCCGAATCGAGGACCCCCCTCGCCGCAAGCACATGGT